CCATCTTCTCGGCGGTTGGGGGCTGTTCAGAATTGTTTTGTTTTTTTTTTCGGTACAACCCTTTGCAGCATGTCGCAGTCACTGAGAACTGACCTGATCTTTCCTTACTCGCGAGCCTATCGTTTACTTTTATTTATTTCTCCCGGCTACTTAGCTGTGCTACTTTGAAAGTACGATTTTTTGGCTCGAGTACCATCAGATTTCACGTTCGCTATGTCCCCGGGATGGGAAGAGCTCCGAGAACGAGAGCATCGGTTTCTTCGTTTTTTGATCTTTCGCGGTGCTTGGTGTAGGTATAGCATTTAAACAATAATTATAGAATTTAATTAGGGTCGAGCTACTCTGATTTCAATGGTCACTGAACCCATTCTGCAGGTGTTGCGGAGAGTAAAGAACGAAGTACAAGGTAGTTCTATAACCTGAGCATAACCAGTAGGCAGCAGAAGCAGTTCGACTGTAACTGCCTTATGATCTGAGACTTCATCGACAAATTTTAAGGGCATATGCAACCTTGTTCTTCTAAATTTGTTCCTTTTCCAACATACATAGGAATCCTTTAATGAATCCTTTTTGGAGGGGCTCGGGAAACGACATTCATCGAGTCTGTCAGATGCAGCGTAGATGAAAAGTTTCAAATTGAGGGCCTTTTTCGTCAGCGACAGCAGTTTCTGTCGTAGGCTGAGTCGAATCATGTGACCGTTCTCTTAGTGAGTGAGTCTACCCTTCATCTTTATGTCAGTTTTTTTTTTCTGAAATCTTTAATAGAAAAGTGGTAGTGTTATAAGAGCTTTGCAGGTTGTTAGGGGGTGTTAGTAGCCGCCCCATGCTCTAACGGTCCCCTAGGAGGGATTATAAACGTCTACATACATAGTGTCGTAGTGTACTTGACTATCCCAGACACTCCTATAGAAGGGAGGCAAACGGTGCAGTTGACTGCATGTGGACATATCCATAGTTGTCGTCGGGACTCCCATCTGCTTCCTTGGAACGGAACGTTCATAAGATTCAAGCCTTGAGGGGTATACGTGTTGTTGACGTCGATGCAGTCTCAAGGGGCAATTGCGACACCTTTCATGGAAGACAATGGCTCCATTGGAAATGGCCTAGGCTCTGCATCTCGAAGTCATTGATGGTGAAAAAGAGGCGTGGAGCTTTGAATGAACATGGCTCAGAAGCCTCTTATTTGTCGTGGAATAACTCCATATTCATCCTGTACTACTATACTTGAGTTTAAAACAGCAGGGAGTCACTCTTACCCTCGAGAGTATTACTAACCGTAACTAGTAACTTGTTCAAAACATAAATGATTAATGCTAGGAAGTTAAGCGATTTCTACCTAAAACATATTTATTTATAAAATCATATGCATCTTAACAGCATTAAAAATATTCGCATGAAAGTTGATGTTATTTCCTTTGCTCGAAGTAGCAGTGATGCCTTCACCGAAGTTTGTTCCCCATAGTTCATTTATGAGAGTTATTATTCGATTTCCAGGAAATGACTTTTTTTATCTGTGAGCATGATATTTACAAGGTTGGAATAGAAGGAAATCTGGCAGGGCGGACCCTTCTGTCTGACTCGATCCGGGCATCAATTACTCAGGGAGCGATGAAACCCAGTTTCTAGATCAAAAAACAAATTGGATGAGAGCGCGGTCCCCACTTCGAATACGTTTGAGAAATTAGGCTTTGGAAAACCATGGAGCCGATTATTTTTCTATTATAAATCTGAGTTGAACTGGATTGAAAGCATGGATTTTTTTCGTGCGGTAATCTCGCTTTAAATTTTTCATGATCACTCTCCACAACGTTGGTCTATCCGTGATTGGTCGGTCGACTGGTGCACCAATCATAACTTCTCCCAGTAGCGACGAACCATACCATTTCATAATACTCTTAAGGAACACCATGACAAATCAATTTCAATTCTACGCATTATTAAAGTTGTAATATTATCCACATGTACGAGTAAATCATCTTTCTGGAAGCGAAAAGTCCCACCATTTTTGAGTACTTCAATGTTTTTTTCTCAGAGCTAGCACATGGCTTGCCCAATTAGCTGGACATCCTAGCGATACCGACATTTATTAGTGAACCTTTTAATCCTCTTAAAGGTTACCATTATAGGGACAACATTCATCATCTGAATAGTTGTGACTCGAAGTAAAGGGGGAGGGTCAGGATGCGGCGACACGTCGATAGCCGCTTGCCGCGTGCGGCAAGCTGCTCGTCGCGTTGCGACGCCCTTCCGAGTAACGCACACCTCATACCGTCCACGTCAAATGAGCGGTTAATGAGTTCTTTGAACACATTCAAATCCTTTTGAATGTTTCAGCAGTGAGTACTGCTTCGCCTAAATTTTGCTGTGACTTCTTTGTGGCTTCGTGTACTTTTCTGTTGTCGTAAGAGGAAAGTGAGCAGTCCTGAAAGAACTGCCGATGAATTAAATTGCTTTCTCACATGTCAGCCCGAGTTCACTTCATTCCATCACTCTTGTCCACAATCCATCAGCTATTTGATTACACTATTATGATGCACTGCAGCGAAAAACAAAAGTGTCAAGCTAAAAACAATCAAGAAATGAGGCAGCAACACGAAAGTGTCATATGTAACTCTGCCTTGCTTTCCATTGTTAATTTCTCTCAATTTCTGCATTTTTTGCTAAAAAAGTCGCGATGCCCTGTCATTTCTATTCCAACCCCGTTCTCAAAACCTCTCTAGTGATTTTTTTTCTTCTCAGACGGTAGAACTCCTCCTCCGCGACGCTACCTTCTGATCAATTTCAGCTCTGAATTACCTATTCCTATCATTATACCTATACCTTTCATACCTTAGCTTTAATGATCAGGACATGAACTACTTATTATAACTATACCATGTGCTGTTGACTGACTTAAATACCAGCTACTACTTGTTTCTACGCTCCCAAAGTAGTACGTGTGTGGGCCTGTATGAATGGATCCTTGAGGGTTCCACTTTCTGGAGCCCTATTTGCTTCTCTTTCGCGTACTTACGTCTTCATAATTTCGCTTCAGATTGGAGCTATCCGCTTTTTCAGTACACTAGTACACTCAAGAAATAAAATTATACGGAATTTTTGAATCGGTATTTTTTAGTTACCAATCATTTGATTCAGTTTTTCTTTGATTTCCTGATTTTTTGATTTTTTTNTTTTTTTCTTTATTCTAGATGCACTTATGAGAAACTGTGAGATGCAGTTCTTTCGAGAAAATGAGGGTTTTGATCGAAAAAAGATTTGATGCCGATTTTAAGATTTTCTATGTTAGCGTATAATTTCTCATCAAATAAAAAACTGCTGAAGTCCAGGATGTGTGGTAAATTGTTGAGGGGAGGCTTTGTTTCATGGTGGAAGAAGGTCAAATGAACCGGTTTATTCATAATTTCTTTAGAGTATGATCAAGCATTGTCATGACACAAGCAAGCCATTTTTGTGTACCGTTCAACTTGCTCCAGCTTTTGACAGCAAACACTTCACACTACCAACCCAAGAGAACCATCCTCTGGTGAGGTAGATCTTTGGCTACACGAACGCCCTGATCGCTGAAGCTGAAGCGTGCTTGAAATGGCATTAGTTAAGTTGTGATGGCCATTTTCATTGCCTGCAACTAGCTCTAACAGCCGATTGAAAAAAAAAACATTGAAAAGGGAAAACAAGGCTATGTCGGGCCCCTTTTAGAGCTTGTGAGAGCTCGATCTCGGAATTCGAACTCATTTCCTCAGTCTTCCAGAGTTATGGAGATATGTCATAACTGTTGTCTCACCGGATCGGTAGCGATGTGTCTAGCATTTGATAGTTTCTCTCCTCCTCCTCCTAGAAATCCTCAAAAGCTTCATGTAAAGCTTGGACACTGAAAGACTGCGGCCAGAGCATGGATCGTTTCCGAAAGAAGAGAGGCCATTTCCGAAGTTTTTTTTT